TCCTACCCCCCCCCTACTACTCCTACTCCATCCTCCTCCTACCCCCCCCCCCCTACTACTCCTACTCCATCCTCCTACCCCCTCCTACTACTCCTACTCCATCTTCCTACTACCTACTCCTACTACCCCCTCCTACTCCATCCTCCTCCTACCCCCTCCTACTACTCCTACTCCATCCTCCTCCTACTCCCTCCTCCTACTACTCCTACTCCCTCCTCCTCCCCCCTCCTACTACCTCCTCCTCCTACCCCCTCCTACTACCTCCTCCTCCTACCCCCTCCTACTACCTCCTCCTCCTACCCCCTCCTACTCTTCCTACCCCCTGTGCCCTGCTTGAGGACGACGCCGCTCACTCGCCACTTTTGGCACTTCCCGACCGTGCCGTGCCGACCGTCGAGTACCGTACCAGCTGTGCGGTAGCCCCCTGTGGAGTACGGAACGCGACTTATCTATCCCCGTCTGTCCCTTCGCGGTTGTTCTCGAGCGCGGCGCGCCCGCATATCCCAGGCAGGCAGCCAAGCAAGACACGCGCTTCCAGCCATTGTGGTGGTGGTGATGATGATGTTGTTGTTGCCATATTCATCACAGGGCGTTATAGTCTGTGGCTTCGTGGGGCTACGTGATGGAGAACAGACGGCAGTGTGCAGCAAAATACATTGTTGTACTGTGCACGTGCATTATGGCTCCCGTCTTCACCAACCTGCACTGACCAGCGTGGTGAAGTATGGTCAAACACCACCCACCCAAGTAGGGACCCTCATCCAGCACTTCCAAAGTCCAAGAACCCTCTAACCAGACACAATTTAGTGGTTCCAGTTTCCTTACGTGGCCAATACCAGTGAACTGGGCGACACACATTTGCGCGGGGTTTCAAACGATTTCGTTGGCATTGGCTCGCCGCGTAAATAAATTTGGTGCTCCGAAAGTTGTGAGCTCCCTGCTGAGGGTGGTGCTGCTGGATTTCCGCTCTGGCGCAAGGACAACTCGTGTATCTGTTGTGGAAGGAGGATGCTGGAGGGTGGGGGGGTAATTCAGCGGCGCAAACCAAGCCGGATTACCCCACTCTAAGAGGTAGTTAAGCTCATTGCGGCGAGGATGTGGGACGGTGAAGCATGGCGATGATGCGCTTTGATTTATGGCCACGTTAATGCAACGCCGGGGCCACGCGAATCCGGAATAGCAGCTTGCAGGCTCCGAGTGGTCGCTTAGTGCACGCACGCACACAGTAGAAAGACAAAGCTCCCCCCCCCCCCACCACCGTATAGCCTTAACAGACTGTAGGGGCAAGCGCTGTTAGTGAGCAGCACCTCTGAAGACCGGAACGAGACACGAGGGGGTGGGTGGCCAGCACCACGCCCGGCCGCCTTTGTCTCCCCAGTGGCGATGGTAGCACACACTGAGTACACACACATCGCATACCACAAGCCAAAGTAGTTGCATCCTTTATTTATCCAGGAGATTAAATAAACCCACCGAGATCCATGACACTTAACTATTTTGCCTCCGGTGAGTACACACACAAGTGGAGGGCACACGAGTACACTGCGAGCACACAGAGAGTGGGTATACACACCACGTTCACAGTGAGTACACACATTTCATAAACAGTGAGTAAACCCATAATACACACACGGAGTACACACACAGTGGGTACACACAGTGGCACAGTACTCTGTGTACACAGTACTCAGTCGGTACACAGTGTGCGCACACAGTGGGTACACACAGTACTCTACTCAGTGGGTACACACAGTACTCACACCATACAATATCTGCACACCTCCACTAAAGTGAACACACACAGTGCGTACAGGCTACACACAGCGTGTACACACGACACAATGAGTACACACACACAATCTGTACAGTGACGCACACACACAATCTGTGCAGTGACACACACACACAATCTGTGCAGTGAAACACACACAATCTGTGCAGTGAAACACACACACAATCTGTGCAGTGAAACACACACACACAATCTGTGCAGTGAAACACACACACAATCTGTGCAGTGAAACACACACAATCTGTGCAGTGAAACACACACAATCTGTGCAGTGAAACACACACACAATCTGTGCAGTGACACACACACACACAATCTGTGCAGTGACACACACACACAATCTGTGCAGTGACACATACACACAATCTGTGCAGTGACACACACACACACAATCTGTGCAGTGAAACACACACACAATCTGTGCAGTGAAACACACACACAATCTGTGCAGTGAAACACACACACAATCTGTGCAGTGAAACACACACAATCTGTGCAGTGAAACACACACACACAATCTGTGCAGTGAGACACACACAATCTGTGCAGTGAAACACACACACACAATCTGTGCAGTGAAACACACACACACAATCTGTGCAGTGAAACACACACACACAATCTGTGCAGTGAAACACACACACAATCTGTGCAGTGAAACACACACACAATCTGTGCAGTGAGACACACACAATCTGTGCAGTGAAACACACACACACAATCTGTGCAGTGACACACACACACAATCTGTGCAGTGAAACACACAAACACAATCTGTGCAGTGACACACACACAATCTGTGCAGTGAAACACACACAATCTGTGCAGTGAAACACACACACAATCTGTGCAGTGAAACACACACAATCTGTGCAGTGAAACACACACAATCTGTGCAGTGAGACACACACACAATCTGTGCAGTGAAACACACACACAATCTGTGCAGTGAAACACACACAATCTGTGCAGTGAAACACACACAATCTGTGCAGTGAAACACACACACACAATCTGTGCAGTGAAACACACACACACAATCTGTGCAGTGAAACACACACACAATCTGTGCAGTGAAACACACACACAATCTGTGCAGTGAAACACACACACAATCTGTGCAGTGAAACACACACACACAATCTGTGCAGTGAAACACACACAATCTGTGCAGTGAAACACACACACACAATCTGTGCAGTGAAACACACACACACAATCTGTGCAGTGAAACACACACAATCTGTGCAGTGAAACACACACAATCTGTGCAGTGAAACACACACAATCTGTGCAGTGAAACACACACACAATCTGTGCAGTGAAACACACACAATCTGTGCAGTGAAACACACACAATCTGTGCAGTGAGACACACACACAATCTGTGCAGTGAAACACACACACAATCTGTGCAGTGAAACACACACAATCTGTGCAGTGAAACACACACACAATCTGTGCAGTGAAACACACACACACAATCTGTGCAGTGAAACACACACACAATCTGTGCAGTGAAACACACACACAATCTGTGCAGTGAAACACACACACAATCTGTGCAGTGAAACACACACACACAATCGGTGCAGTGAAACACACACAATCTGTGCAGTGAAACACACACACACAATCTGTGCAGTGAAACACACACACACAATCTGTGCAGTGAAACACACACAATCTGTGCAGTGAAACACACACAATCTGTGCAGTGAAACACACACAATCTGTGCAGTGAAACACACACACACAATCTGTGCAGTGAAACACACACACAATCTGTGCAGTGAAACACACACACACAATCTGTGCAGTGAAACACACACACAATCTGTGCAGTGAAACACACACACAATCTGTGCAGTGAAACACACACACAATCTGTGCAGTGAAACACACACACACAATCTGTGCAGTGAAACACACACAATCTGTGCAGTGAAACACACACACACAATCTGTGCAGTGAAACACACACACACAATCTGTGCAGTGAAACACACACAATCTGTGCAGTGAACACACACACAATCTGTGCAGTGAAACACACACACAATCTGTGCAGTGAAACACACACACACAATCTGTGCAGTGAAACACACACACAATCTGTGCAGTGAACACACACACACAATCTGTGCAGTGAAACACACACACAATCTGTGCAGTGAAAACACACACACAATCTGTGCAGTGAAACACACACACACAATCTGTGCAGTGAAACACACACAAATCTGTGCAGTGAAACACACACACACAATCTGTGCAGTGAAACACAATCTGCAGGAAACACACACACACCACAATCTGTGCAGTGAAACACACACAATCTGTGCAGTGAAACACACACAATCTGTGCAGTGAACACACACACAATCTGTGCAGTGAAACACACACACACAATCTGTGCAGTGAAACACACACACAATCTGTGCAGGTGAAACACACACACCAATCTGTGCAGTGAAACACACACACACTCTGTGCAGTGAAACACACACACAATCTGTGCAGTGAAACACACACACAATCTGTGCAGTGAAACACACACACAATCTGTGCAGTGAAACACACACACAATCTGTGCAGTGAAAACACACACAATCTGTGCAGTGAAACACACACACACAATCTGTGCAGTGAAACACACACACACAATCTGTGCAGTGAAACACACACAATCTGTGCAGTGAAACACACACAATCTGTGCAGTGAAACACACACAATCTGTGCAGTGAAACACACACACACACAATCTGTGCAGTGAGACGCAACGCCGCACGCCTCCACCGCTGTGCGATCAGCAACCGGGCACAGCGGAGCGCGCTGCAACAGGTCCCGGTGTGCAACAACAAACACCGCTCCCCTCTCTGGCAACGAGAGAGTCTTCTCTCTCGTTGCCAGAGAGGGGAGCGGTGTTTGTTGCCAGCGACGCAATGAACACCACCACCACCACAACCATCACGGCACGCATCATCATGATCACGTCACGCATCGTCCTCACCATCACCTAGCCCGCAGCCGTGGCGAGGCGCCGGCGGTGTTGTCAGCAGGCACACCGGGGCAGGGGGGGGGGTGGCGATGCGGGACGACCAACAACACGCGCGTTGCAAAAAGGAGGAAGAAAATTATGGACCACGACGCCGCCGCCGCCGCCGCAAGAGATAGAGTTAGTGACATGTCAAAATATCCGCTTACCTCTCACGCACAGGAGAGACATCTCGACACCCCGGGCTGGGCGGAGGCTGTGCACGCTCGTGGCCACGCGCCGGCGTCGCGAGTGTGTGGGTGGTGGTGGTGGTGATGGTTGTGGTGGTAATGGTTGTGGTGGTGGTTGTGGTGGTGGTGGTGCTGGCTGCGAGCGATGCTGGCTGAGCTCTAAGCTCTGCTCACGGCGCCGCGCTGCGATGTCTCTGCCGCCGCCGCCGCCGCTGTTCGGCAGAGCGGACGTCGCCTCGCCATCTTAGCGCGGGGTGGGGAGACGTGACGCCGCCTTGTGACGCGGGGAGGAGACCTCCTCACCCCCCTGCTCCTCACCACCCCCCCTGCTCACCCCCCACCTGCTCACCCACCCCCTGCTCCTCACCACCCCCTGCTCCTCACCCCCCTGCTCCTCACCTCCCCCCCCCCTGCTCCTCACCTCCCCACCCTGCCCCTCACCACCCCCCCTGCTCCTCACCTCCCCCCCTGCTCCTCACCTCCCTGCTCCTCACCTCCCTGCCCCTCACCCCCCCCCCCTGCTCCTCACCACCCCCCCCTGCTCCTCACCACCCCCCCTGCTCCTCACCACCCCCCCTGTTCCTCACCCCTCCCCCCTGCTCCTCACCTTTTGCTCATTGCCCCCCCCCAAACTCATCACCTCCTGCTCTTGACACACAGCTCCTCCTACCCTTCTGGTCCTCACCCCCTGCTCCTCACCCCTCGCTCCCCCCCTTCGCTCCTCACCGCTCGCTCATTTACAGCTCCTCGCCTTTTGCTCCTTACCCCCAACACCTCACCTCCTACTCCTCACCTACTCCTCACCTCCTACTCCTCACCTCCTACTCCTCACCTCCTACTCCTCACCTCCTACTCCTCACCTACTCCTCACCTCCTACTCCTCACCTCCTACTCCTCACCTCCTACTCCTCACCTCCTACTCCTCACCTCCTACTCCTCACCTCCTACTCCTCACCTCCTACTCCTCACCTCCTACTCCTCACCTCCTACTCCTCACCTCCTACTCCTCACCTCCTACTCCTCACCTACTCCTCACCTCCTACTCCTCACCTACTCCTCACCTCCTACTCCTCACCTCCTACTCCTCACCTACTCCTCACCTCCTACTCCTCACCTCCTACTCCTCACCTCCTACTCCTCACCTCCTACTCCTCACCTCCTACTCCTCACCTCCTACTCCTCACCTACTCCTCACCTCCTACTCCTCACCTCCTACTCCTCACCTCCTACTCCTCACCTCCTACTCCTCACCTCCTACTCCTCACCTACTCCTCACCTCCTACTCCTCACCTCCTACTCCTCACCTCCTACTCCTTCCTATCCGCTCCCCACGCGCCGCTCCTCACCCCCGATGTTTCCATCTTCTGATCCTCACCTCCCTGCTCTCCATCCCCTAAACCTCACCAGTACGTGTGGGCCATCTCTCTCTCACACTCACCGCACGCCGTGATGCATCATAGCAACAACACTCAGCGGTGGGCACGTCACCACGTGCCAGGCTTAGTGCACTTTAAGGCCACGTGAAGTGTCGAACGCCGGCTGGCAGGAGATCAGAGGACAGAGCCAGCAGGTGCCATGGGTTGACCGACTGAGATGACTACTGGCCAATGCACCACCTGTGCCCCCTACTGTGCCAACTTGCTGTGTTTTAACCGCCCGGTGCTCCGTTCGTTGTTGTGAGCGTCGCTCCTCCGCCCTCGCTGGAGGCGACTGCCCAGGAGCAGCAGCGTCCTTCGCAGAGGCCGATCTTGACACCGCTGGTACCAGTCATCGGCAAGTCCCCTCAGCATCATATAACCCCACACATTGACACGTATATCATGCACTACACATGTACACACACCACACTCCATATACACAGCATAACAAAGACAAAGACCCCCCCCCCGTATAGCCTAACAGACTGTAGGGGCAAGTGCTGTTAGCGAGCACCTATAAAGGCCGGAACGGTACACGAGGGGGTGGGTGGCCAGCACCACGCCCGACCGCCTTTGTCTCCCCAGTGGCGATGTTTACATATCGCACCAGGTACTCATTTGAGGCTGAGTCGACCTAGGGGAGGCCCAGAACCGGTTCAGATAATCGTCACCGGTGTTGGCCGTGAGCGGGAATCGAACCCGGATCGCCGGGTTCGTAGCTAACCGCTACACCACGGCTCTCCACAGTCAGCATAACACACGCGCACATCCATCACACGGACTCACCATCAACAACGACACCGGTTACAATAACGCCACATTTATCACACACGTCCTAGCACACGTACACCAACACACTGCAACAACAGACTCAACATTGTCCACCGGATAGACTGCGCCCGGTCATATGAATGTGAAATTGACACCAGATTTGCCTCTGACATGGCCGAGTACGGCTAGACGCTTGTTTGGATAAATAAACACACACACTTGCACATTCGATATGGAAATGACTGGTTATGGTAATCATACAGCGCAAACTGCAATTCACACAAGCAGGAGAACCAGTCCATTGACCGTGCAGAGTTTCGCTTTCAGAATCAGAAACTTGATTTCGACTGCAGGAGGAATCCGTTGAACTCTGAAGCTCTTTTTCACAGATGTCCAGTATGGGCGGATCAACAAGTGCACCGCGGTTAATCCACTGCTAGATGAAGGCCTCTGCCATCTCTCACGATCCTGCGATGCAACATTCTACCCAGCGCCTATACACGAGCCGACTCCATCGCCCCATCTCCTCGGATAGATGTCCTCTCGGACGTGATCCATCTCTTGGCTGGCACTCACGTGGCAATCATCCTGCCCACGTTTGTCTACTTGTCATTTACCTGCGAAGTTGAATCGTGCACGTTAAGTTTGACCGCGCATCTCTCCAGGGTCGCGATTGGTCAACTTTACAGTAGAGGGTTGGAATGGGGGCATAACTTAGAAAGGTTTACGCAAAACCATATTGACCAGAATGGTGAAGTATGGTCAAATATTCGTACCGACACGTGAGGAAGCCTTCATCAAATAATAGATTGACAAATAGCTAAGAATAATTCATCAAAATGTGATATTGCCTCAAGGTGTTGCATGCAATTTTAAATACTGTAATGCATTTCACCTTGGGATGCCGCACTGGTTCTCAAGACTTTCTTGAGTCCTGCTCAATAAGGTTCTTTGAACATTTCCACGAGTGAGAGTTTGAATTCTTGTAGGATGAAACAAGAGCACACGGAGAAAACCCACCACACGTATAAAAGTGGATGTGACATTCAAAGCACCGCGTATTGAGAATCAACAATCCATTTATGTACTTCCATCTTCAGTCCACGTCAAAGCCAGCATCCTCAACCCTACAGCACTTGCTGTTCCCAAGCAGATTCCAACTCAAGGACTAACCAGGCTCGCCTCGCATTGCGAATTAAAAATACTTTACCCAGAAACTGAGCTGGGGAAATCCCCCAACCAAATTACACCCTGCATCTCTCCACGCTTCTTTGCACACATTTAGCTTTGTTACGTTTTATTTTGTCATGAGCACGGTAACCCAGTTACCACATTCCTACTGTCATTAAATCCAGGGGTAGTTGGGGGTGGGTGACTTCTGCTGCCAGTTTTGTTGTGTTCAGAAGCAAATACAGAGAGAGAAGGCCTTCACGCAGAACATCGTGAGGTGCCCCGTGATTTAATCTCCCGTGGTGGGCTGAGTGCAGCGACGGCGCGAGCTGTGAACGCGCGCCCTGTCGTGGCCGCTGTTGATATCGCGACGGAAAAGTGGCGTTCATTTGGGAGGCTGCATGCAGCATTTGGCCCCCAGGCAATGACTGCTGTGTCCAATACGTCTACTGTATATATCACCTCGTAGGGCGTGGTAGCGCTTCCATGTTGTACAACCCATTGTAGGAGTACCTTGTGACTCACGGTAAACGATGCTCGACCATGAGCCCAAATCGTGTATTTTGTTACTTGTCGGTACCACTCGACGTGGCATAACTTTAGGGGCTCCAATCTATTTACGTTATACATGTTCAGTGAATTATGTGATAATTATGTGGGTGGGTTATGCAATAGTCCACTCTTATTGGCCGTATAAATACACGTGTATGACTAAAGTTTTTCTACTTTAAGTGGTACGAATTTCTCCTCTGATCCATGGACTATTCAGTGCCTGGGTGTATTACAGTGTACACATGTAGAGGTACGATCATTGTTTGTGGATTTCTTGAATGTTATTCAATCTAGGTACTTTGGGCATTCTGGCGAAGTGACAAATTGGCTAACAATCCCAATCATGATCCTCATAAACCTCTGAAGACAATTCAATTAATATTCTTTGGGTCTTTCGGCAAAGTCACGTGACTTTACCGAAAGCCCCAAAGAATATGAATTCCTGCAGTCACGAAAGCTTTAAGTCAAGATACAATTCAATTAATTATTTGTTGGTACTGCGTTGCGCGAAAAATGCAACACGTCACTGACGATGTGTTGAGTTTTTTTCATGAAGACTTAACGAGGCTTTCATGGACAAATCGCAATAAGTTGTTTTGAGAACATTTTTTATTGAAATGTTATGCTTGATTCGGATGTATATTTTTGTAATTTTCCAATCGCATAATTGGGGATGGTTTTCACAACATTGTAAAATTAAGTGACCTTAGACTAACAATTGTCAAATTATTGGTTAAACCCGTCACAGCTTTGGAGACTGCTTACAACATACAGTAGCCATAGGCTTAACTGAATTATACTACAGTAAATTGTATTTCGTGCCTTTTAGCGGCTTATGTTAGCGCCGGACTGCAAAAATAATTGGAGTGTATTTAGCTTGCATCCATGACCTATGGGATTTAATGTGGAGCTCTGTCACTATATCACACTGGTATTCATAGTTTATATCTTCCTCGTCACCGGTTTACCCAAAACGACGTGCACAAAACGCTAAATAACAAATGTCTGTCTTTCCTGAAGCATATTCGCAGGGCTTAATCTCTCACTGCATGTTGCTTGGGTCGTAAACTCGGAGCAACGGTCATAATGCAGTCCTGGATGTGGTGTGCCGGATGTGGACATATTTTCTGAATCTCATACCTGGAGAGACTAGGCAAAAATGAAGCCGTGCCTGTCCCTCTATATGCAAACTCATATGCAGACTCGTTCCTCACCCAGTCGCCCCCATCTCGCTCGCTCACACGCGTCCCTTGCTTAATCACTGCTCCTTTAGTCTCACCTGATTTGGATGCAAAAACCAAATCCTCCAAATATTCATTTCACTTCAATGAGTACACCAACCCTGTGAATGTCAACATCCAAACAACGATCTGCA